GACCAAACACATCAAAGAGGATATATAACATATAAAACCTTTTTCTGCCAACACACTTGTTGGAGATTTGGAGATAAAGATAGATAGTGCATGCTGTTGCTTGGCTCACTGAACTCCTAACCCAGCCCCCTTCTAATGTGCCTCGCTGCAAAGCTGAAAATCTCCTTTCCCAGCCTTCCTTGCAGCTAGATTTGCAGATGGGATTTGGAATGTGTCCATCAGATGCATGCATGAAAGGCACGAATTTGCAAATGAGGTAATAAAGGAGAAGCAGGGTTCAAGGCGCACACTTTATTGGTGAGGCTTGTACCAGGAGGGTGTGGTCAGGTGGTCTGGTCAAGTCTTTCTGGTCTGACAGGCAGCCTCCTGGTAGTGGCAGGAGTGGCAGTAATCTTGGCAGTCCAGCTTGGCAGTGCCTGGCACATAAATGCTGAATACCTGTGGATTCTTATTACAGTCCTTAGGATTTAGCTCGAGCAATACTGGAGGATGTCCATGTGCTGTGGAGACAGTACCTGAAAGATAACGGAGTGCTCAGCCTGACTTCTGAGGTGGTTCCATCCTGAAGGAAATAAAGATCCATGGTTTAAAGTGTATGACATTGGTGTCCCTGTACTGTGTATGTTCCTTGTTTATAATTGGCCTATATTCTCCCAGTATAACATGCAAAAATTGTGGGTCTTTCAAACACCTGGGAGAAAGGTAGCCTATTGTCACTGAAGGTGAACAATCTTCCTCTAGAGCCTCCCAGAAATTTAAACGTCTAATGAAAAAATGATTATCGGTTAGAATAAACTGTCACTACTAGTTGCACTGAAAATATGCACTTTTAAGCAGGAGCTGTGTCTAAACCAGGAAGCTTGACAATGTTGCAACTTCCTCTACAAGGACCACTTTATTGTGACAAATAAGAATTTTTTATCAAAAAGTTAAAAATGTCAACAAAGACTGGCAGGAAGTGACACTCTACTCCTAATTCCCCAAATAATTTCTCTGTTCCCTGAACACATTTTTGGTGCCTTTCTTAGGACATTTTCCCATTTTTTAAAGCTTGTATTGTAGTTATTTATGTCCATGTCTGATCTGCCCAATGTATGCAACTGTAAAAACATTGGGGGCAGGGACGCCCACTGATTCATCTTTGGGTCTCTTAAAGTGCCTGCTGAGAACCATCCCTTGCACAAAGGAGGCAGTCGGTCTGTACTTAATGAGGGAGTTGGTGGAATCCTGTGCAGTCCTGAGTCATGAGGACTAACACTTTTGAAAGTATGCTAACAAGGTGTTCCTATGCAACTAAATATACTTTGATTCATTTTCCAGAGAGAAGAGAAGGGGAAAGAAAGTGAGTGGGAGTGCACACGATGGAGAAGGTTGCATCACTGCTTCAGACAAGTGTTTTCTCCAGGTCCCACTGGTGGTGGGAGTGGCACAAAGACGGTAGGAGACTCAGCCTCTAATCACTCACAGGCTCTGTGATTCTAATCCAATCCTGTAACTCTCTCCCCTTCCTCAGAAAAGGGATTGAGGAAGTGAAGAACCATAGTTCCTCTCATCACATTGTCTTTTAGTCACCTTTCCAGAAGATTTCAGCTCTGATCTTAGGATGATTTAAGATCTTAATTTGAACATGTCTTAAAGTTTATATATCCTCAACATGGTAATTCAGCATCATCTCACATGCTGACCCATTGGTAGCTACTTCCTAAAGGTCTGTGTTTAGAAGGACTCTGATTGCCTCTTTAGGCTCAGTGGAAAGAAGGTGTTAACTTAATAGTATGACCCAGTATGAGGCAGGGAGGGGAGCAGCAGCAAATAAGCCAAGATATGTCATCCCTGATCAAGTCCATTACCTTCATTTCACAGGAAGAAAATGAAAACAGAAGCTCATGTCTTAAGCTTGCTTTGTGCCAGGTACTGTTCAAGTTGCTTTCCCATGGACATATTTATTTAATCCTTAATCAGTCTTAAAGGAGTTAGCATTATTTGATTCCCATTTTGCAGATGAGGTTTAGGGAAGCAAATTTTCACCCAGAGGTTACACTCTGGAAATCCTTATCTTTAAGCACTTCCCTATACTGCCTCCTAATCTGGGGGCACCATGCTAATGGTACAGCCAGGTGCAATTTTGCCCTCCTGGAAACTTCTGGCAGTGTCCAGCAACTTTTTGGTTGTGGGAAGGAGAGGGTGTTCCTCAAATCTATTGGCTAGAGGCCAGAGATGCTGCTAACTGCGCAGAACAGCACCCAGAAACAAGGTGTATCGGGCCTGAAATATCAATAGTGTTGAGACTGAGAATTTGGAGTTAGGCAACATGAAAGTCATTTTCAGACCGATGATGAAACTCTTCCTGTGGCCCAGTAAGTACAACCACTGTCTCCATTTCACAGACGAGGACAAGTGCTCTCAGAATCAGGAAGCTCACAGGATAGGAACTCAGGTAGCCTGGTTCTGGAGGCCTCTGGAGTTCCCCTTCCACAAAACTCCATTCTCACCAGCTTCCTTTACTGTCAAAACACGTAAACTCTTTAAAAACATGCTTATATATTACAGATTTCAGAAGCTAAGGACATACAGCCAACTCTGAAAATTTCCATCATGATGGGTGTTTCTTCCTAGATTAAAAAATTATTTATTTGTATTTGTTCAATAGTTCAAAGAAGAGGGCTAGAAACTCTTCGTATAGAGCCATTGATCTTGCTGGAGTAGACATACAGATCCTTGCTTTAACATAAAAATCTGAGGAGAAAACTAATTTTGGGACATTAACAGGCTTTTTTTCCCCCAGAATAATTAGCTCTGCATGGGATTCAACTTTAATTTTTTTTCTTTTGTTTTAGGAGCTAGTAAGCCTGGAATTTTATATAGGTGGAGAAGAGGAAATGAAACTATTAAAACACAGTATGATTCCTCTTTTTCTAGGAGGTAAGGTACAATCTGAGTATGAATGACTTTCTCATCCTGTCCAGCTGACTGCCTCAAGTACAAATAGAAAAAAAATATATACGTACAAAAACTTGGTTAGCTGAAAGAAATTGAAGAAGCCAAGAATTGAATGCTAGTTTCAACAATAAAGCCCTACACAAATAACTTCCCTTAGGATGTGAGGCTTGTCTCCTGCAAAGAAAACAGTGCTGACATAGCAGGGTGGGGGTGGGAGTTAGAGAAAAGAAAAAGACATCCAAGAGTTTGAGGGAAGAGGGGGAGGAAAAACGAGCTTCTCTCTCAGAGGGCAATTAACTGAAAAGATGCGAGAGAGGCCGGGAAATAATGTCTGAGCTGCTCGGGCAATCCAGGCTGGGTGTGGGCACGGTGCTTCCCGGAATTTGGAATGGTCAGGCGCCTGCCGGACCTGCCGGTCCACCGGCGTTGGTCAGGTGACGATGGGGGGAGGAGGCTGACTTGGAGGGGAACTTCCAAGTCATTAGATTTTAAATCTTTTCCGGTAAGGTTCCCTGTATACAGACGTGGGCAGCGTGACAGTGGGCAGGTTCGCTGTGCATCTGGTTGGGATCCTTCCTCCCTCCCTCCCTCGCTGCTTGCCAGATCTAAAATAGTCCCAGACACCCCACGACGGGGATGGTTCCGGAAGCCGAGAATCTAGCACGGTGAATGAAATGCGAATAGTATGGCTCTGGCGAGAGACTCAGCTTAATTTGGGGTCAGGTGGGAAACTGGAAATGTGTCGGCCGCCGCAGGTGGCACGGGAATTTAACAGTCGGGAGCCCCTACTCTAAGCCAGTGAGACTGGCAAGCCAGCCACACTTATTGTTCAGCTTGGCGAGGCAGTTTACCTTGCATCTGCCTTTTCCTCGGCCTGGAATGCTTTTCCCGAGACCAGTTCCTTTCAGGAATCTGCGTAGAAGCCACCTCCGCCGAGAGGCCCTTGGGGTGCCTCGCGACTCCCTATCACACAAATCATCACTTTTGAAAGCTCCGCTTAGCCATTACCCCAGTGCTCACAGTTCATCGGCATTTTCTCGTTTGTTTATATCTATATGTGTTCTTTGTTTATGGTCTGTTTTTCCACTAAAATATAAGCTCTCTTAGAGCAGGAACTAGGTGTGCCATCATCCCAGCTGCGCGCCTACAACCCCTCGGGACGCACACCTGCGCCACCACCCGACAGGTTTGCCGCACGCCCACAACCGCCCCGCCCGCCACGTGCGGCACCCGACAGGTTCGCTGTCTCCAAACTGACTCCAGGTGATCAGTTGTCCTGCATTCACACTAGGATCCAAGGAGGCCTAAGAGTGGGCAGTCGAGTTAGGTGGACTTCACCTTTACCGTCTTTTAAAGGGCTCCTGCATTTTAACTGAAGCTTTCTCTCCGGCCCCCCCCCCCCGCCCCCCGCGTGGAACAAAACAACCACACTCCCGGCAGGTTGTCTCCCAGGCCGCCTGCACGAAATCTGCATCACTGCCTCTGCGTGACACGGTCACAGTCTAGGGCCAAGGCCCCACGCCGAATCTGTCCTTCGCCATCCCATGCCTGCAGTCTTCCCGTCACCACCTACTCTCCTCCATTCCCGATCCTTTTGCCTCGATTTTACTTCCTCAAAAGGTCCAGTCCTCTTTGCCAGTTCAACCACGAAGTCCCCTGCAAGCTCCTCCTTAACCAGCCTTCCAGCGCCGCCCTCACAGTTCCCCTCCTTCCCTAGCCCGGAAAGGCCACTCGACAAATATTTATGGAGCATTTACAGCGCACAGATAACTCGCTAGGCCGCTGGAAGCCCCTTCTCAGGCTCCGCCGCAGCTTTCACCTCCCTCCGTCCTCCCCACCTGTCGGGAACCCAGCGCCCCAACTCCCTTGACTGCGTCATGGAATCCACACGCTTTTTCCAAGCGTATCACCCCACCCACTTCCCTGGAGCCGACTCCTGATTGGTCAATGTGTGGGTCACTCTGCGGCCCCCTCCCGTCTTCCCCGCCCTCCGCACGTGGCCCCACCCCCAGGGCGGGCTCGGGCTCCTCCTCCTAGTTTATTCCCCTTTGCTAATCGCTGGGTGGCGAGTGCGGAGAAGTTCTGGGCAAAGTCCTGGGAAGCGGATGCGCTATCGCAGCGCCTGCGAGCCCGCGAGCCCGCGAGCCCTGCCGGGCCAAGGGACCGCAGCGCAAGGCAATCAGTTCACAGCGCGGTCTCCAACCCCTCTGTCGGCCCTCGAGTGGCCGTCCCCGCCCGGTCTCCTGCAGCTGGTGAGGGAACTGTCAAACACACGTTTCCGGGGGACGGAAGAAACCGGGTTTGCCTACTCCTGAGTCTGTGGACGAACCTCGGAGCCCTGCTCCGGGGAAGTAGGTGGCCTTCCCGGTTGCAGAGCGCGCAGGTAAGCGCCAGGACGCCTGCCAGATTGGTGGTGCGGTGTGGTGGGGGCCCGGCGGTGGTGGCAGCTCTGGCTTGCCAGGGCTGCGATTTCGGAGGGGGAAGATCAGTCTTCGCAGGACCGGAGTCAGCCTCCTGCCTTCGGAGAAGAACCAATCTGCCGGAGGGGCAGCCCCGAGCCAGGGAGATCGTCCTCGGTGCTGGTGCCAGTCTCTTTAGACGTAGGGTTTGAGTGCTGCCCACCCAGAGCTCTGTGCTTAGAGGGATGGTTCCGCTGGGATCGAGGGCGTGAAGGCGCGGAGCTCGGGGGGCCTGGGTCTCGGCGCCAGAGGATGGTTAGCAAAGGGTTGTGGCGCCAGGGAGGGAGGTCACAGGAAACCCGTTTAATTGGACTGAGCGCGAAGCTTTACCACATCCGTGGGATGGGGCGCGGCTGGGAGACCTGGGTGAGGCTGGCTTTGCAGGCACCCGGCTTGTTCTCCTCTTCGCCGGGCCTGCTCCACCTAACGGTGCCCAGGCTGGGGTCTGAGGGCACTCGCCTCTCTGGGCTTCCTAGTGTTCTGGATATTGTCTTATATCGTAGAGATACTTCTTAACCCTGGACGCGCCGCCCCGCTTCGGTAATGAAACTTGCCAACCGCCTTCTGCACACTTGTACGCTCCCTCCTCTATCTCACAAATTACCAATCTCCTGAGTCTGGACACTGAGCTGAGGGGACTGTGAAGTTGTCGGTACATAAGGTCCCCCAGGTGTTGCACTGACCCTCAGGGTTTGACTACGGAATGGGGCATTTAGAAGTATTTTAAGCTGCAGATGCAAAGGAGGTCCTTCCACAGACAGGTGAAAGTGTAGATCTGACTTCCGATCATCGACCCTCTACCCCCAAGCATCACCATACAAGGTGAGGTCTCCCTTCTGGCCAAAGGAGACCAGTCAAGCAGGCCTGGGCTGAAATGCACTCAAGCTCAAGCCCCTCCTCCAAGTTGCCAGCACACCACCTTGTTCCACATTCCTCACAGCGCTCAGCTCTCTCTGAAATTATCTCCTTGGGGTCTCTGCCATCTGCTTTCCGCCAGTAGAATGGAGGTTCCAGGAAAGCAGGGATCTTTTTTTTAAAAATATATTTTATTGATTATTCCATTACATTTGTTCTATATCCCCCTTCATTCCCCTCCACCCTGCACACCCCTCCCCTATCATTCCCCCCCCCCTTAGTTAATGACCATGTGTCTCAAGTTCTTTGGATTCTATATTTCCCATACTATTCTTGCCCTCCCCCCCATCTATTTTCTACCTACCGTCTATGCTACTTATTTTCTGTATCTTCTCCCCCCTTCTCCTCACACTCCCCTGTTGCTAACCCTCCATGTGATCTTCATTTCTATGGTTTTGCTCCTGATCTAGCTGTCCTCTTAGTTTGCTTTTGTTTTAGGTACGGTTCTTAATAACTGAGTTTGCTGTCCTTTCACTGTTCATCTTTTTTATCTTCTTTTTCTTAGGTAAGTCCCTTTAACATTTCATATAATAAGGGCTTGGTAATGATGAACTCCTTGAATTTGGTCTTATCTGAGAAGCACTTTATCTGTCTTTCCATTCTAAATGAAAGTTTTGCTGGATAAATCAATCTTGGATGTAGGTCTTTGGATTTCATGACTTGGAATACCTCTTTCCAGCCCCTTCTTGCCTGTAAGGTCTCTTTTGAGAAATCCGCTGACAGTCTGATGGGAACTCCTTTGTAGGTGACTGTCCCCTTAGCTCTTGCTGCTTCTAGAATTCTCTCCTTCATTTGAATCTTGGCTAATGTAATTATGATGTGCCTTGGTGTGTTCCTTCTTGGGTCCAACTTCTTTGGGACTCTCTGAGCTTCCTGGATTTCCTGGAAGTCTATTTCCTTTGCCATATTGGGGAAGTTCTCCTTTATTATTTGTTCAAATAAGTTTTCCACTGGTGGCTGTTCCTTTCCCCCTTCTGGTACCCCTATAATTCGGATGTTGGAGCATTTAAAGATGTCCTGGAGGTTCCTAAGCCTCTCCTCATTTTTTTGAATTCTTGTTTCTTCATCCTTTTCTGTTTGATCATTTTTTTCCTCTTTCTGGTCCACTCCTTTGATTTGAGTCCCAGTTTCCTTTCTATTACTATTGGTTTCCTGTGCATTACCATTCATTTCAATTAGTTTAGCCTTCATATGTTCCTCTAATTTGTGACTAAAATCAACCAGTTCTGTGAGCATCCTGATCACCAATGTTTCGAACTGTGCATCTGAAAGTTTGGCTATTTTTTCATCACTTAGATTTATCGGCTCTGAGTTGTTTTTGAGCCATGTTTTGATCTGTTTGTGCCTGTTACATATGAGGAGCGGAGCCTTAGTTGTTCACCAAGGTGGGGCCACCCAGGTCACTGGTTTGTGATGCTGTATTGTGACCCCCTGTGGGGGCAGGGTCAGAGAGGGACAATAGCGGTCCCCTCTGCTGCTTCCCACCACTGGGGCTTGCGCAGTCTGTCTCACCGCTCGCTCCTTCACCGGTTTATCTGCGTGAGAATGTGTGACTGTGGTCAGCCCTCAGTGGGTCTGCCCACTGCTACTCCACACCTGGGATCCGCCCACAGCTGCTGGATGCCTGGGTTGTGTGTCCCTGGTTGGTCGGGTGGATCTTTCCTGCCTGCCCCACCCTGCTCTGCTGCTGGCTCTGCCTCTCTTACTGGTTTGCCTGAAGGGTTCATTGTTGTCAGACTTCCGTGTAGTTCAATTTTCTGTGGTTTGGCTGCATTTTTGTTGCTAAAACTTTGTTGTTTTTAAGCTCGGTTGTGCGAGAAGGCGCAGTGCTTCCACCTACGCCTCCATCTTGGCAAGAAGTCTGGAAAGCAGTGCTCTTATCAGTCTTATTCATCACTGTCTTCGATGTCAGCAACAGTGCTGGACACACACAGTAGGTGTGCAAGAAATATTTACTGAATGATGAAAACCTCTTTAAAATATGAGGACTGGTGATTTTCATGTGCATCTTTTTTTTTTTATCGGAGAAAATTAAGTACCAATAACTCCTCTTGGTTGAGTACCTACTAAAAACCAGATATGTATTGGGAACTTTGTATAGATTGCTTCATTAAACATTACAGTGGTCTTATTAGCTAGATATTTCTAACCAGGTGGGAAATTGAGGCTCCACCAGGTTAATTTCCTAGGATGATCCTGGCAGAACTAGAATTCCAGCCCATTTTTTTTCTTTTATTGTTCTGGGTCTCTTCCAAGAAACTGCAATGTGTTTTCCACCATTACAGCCCACAGATATTGAGCTTTATTTGTAACAAAAGCTACTGCTTAGCCAAAAGAAGATCTGTGGTTTTCTCATTCAGATATAGTTTCAATCATAGTTAATAGTCAACTATTATTGAAAGATACTACAAAATATTGTAGTGTCTTTCAATAATAGTTCTTACGGCCATGGACTATGGCCAGGTAGTTTGAGGCTGCCATAAGCCCATATTATCTTATTTAATCTTCACCAGTGTTGTGAGGTCATCTCCATTTTGCAGATGAAGAAACTGCAGCCTAGCCTCAGGGACTTGCAGGGTGGACAGTCTATTGCTGAGATAGATTTTGTTAATAGCCCTTCTGACTCCAAATATTTAGCTCCTTCCATTGCATAGCAATGTGTCCTGCTCCCACTACTTAATTAAAGGTTACTTCATTATTGTAGAGTCCGATTGATACAACATATTAAACCAACGGAATTTGAGCTATAAACTTTCTGCTGCCAATATCGAGTTTCTGTTGTATTACTTTCTAAATTATTGAGACTCTTACTGCCATTGATTTTTGTGGTTGAGTTTATGATTTGTGGGCCTGTTAGTTGAGGGACTTTAATATAGGAGGAAAGGAAATTCTCCTTTCACCTAAATTTAAATTTACTTTCACCTAAATCTTAACAGAAACCCTATGGGTTTTGCCTGCTATGATAAATGAACTCTGAACACAGTAATGCTTTGTGCCTCTTAAGGAAAGTGCTGGGAACATCCAGCTGGTGCCTCTGGTCCCATATGTGGAATCGAGAGTTAGAGACCACTATGAATCCCAAAAGCTCCTGCAGCAATCTTTTAGTAAAGTAACTAAGGTTCAACTCTTTGTACTCTTGTAGTGAAACTGAAGGCAAGAAGTTAGATAAGAGTGTAGTGGTTACTTCCTGAAGGGCTAGTAGCAAAATAGGGCTTGGGAAGGAATTAGAGACTCCTTTATGCTTCTACTTCTATTCTAGTTTTAGGGGGTAGTATAATGCTTTTCCCTGTGTGAGGGTCTGGATAATCCAGTTTTATTTGTAACATGCCTCTCAGCAGTCATTTATTTATTTATTTATTTTTTAGAGAGAGGAAGAGGGAGAGAGATAGAGAGGGAGTGAAACATCAATGTACGATTGCCTCTAGCACACCCCATACTGGAGGCCTGGCCTGTAGGCATGTGCCCTGACTGGGAATCGAACTGGCGATGCTTTGGTTCACAGGCCTGCACTCAATCCACTGAGCTACACCAGCCAGGGCTAGAACTATATTTTCTGAATTGTTAATTCCATTTTAGTAGTCCCGGGAGGGCAGGAGAATGCTCCGCCTAGAATGCCCACAGAAGTGATGGGAGTATGAGACACTAAGGGAGATGGAAGCTGTTAGGTTGAACATGCCTTCCATGTATAACTGAGAGCTGCTTATAGTTCCCTGTGAATTCCTATCCTGTGTATGTCTTTCTCACCAGCTTTTTAGCCCTCTCCTCTGGAAACCTGCTCGACTTCCAAATCCCTGCTGTTCATACCAGGTTTATGCTCACCCAAACTCTTGTCTCTGTCTTCCTCATTGTCTCTCACACCCATGTCCTCCCATTGCCCCCATACCATCTCAGCTCAGGGTCTTGGAGACTTCTGTATTCTGGCCTAACGTTGCTCACAGGTGGATTTTCCTCCCTCAGTCTCTTCGTATCACTGCTGCTGAACTTTTTATTCCAGGGACTGTTCTAAGTA